CATTTAACATGAAAAGTCTTTATAAAAAAACATTTTTGGTTGATTTTCCTTCAGTGAGTTTTTGTTTCCTGCTTCATCTGACCGTAATCAGCCAATAATAAGATCTCTTCTGCTTCTCTGCCTCGTCTCTGAGTGATCATCTCTGCAGGATGTTTGCCAAGTGACCTGCCAGAGAACAAAGACCCCACACTCACCCTGCTGCTGTTTGTTCTTCTTCTTTGTAGGTTTTGTTTCTGTTGTGACGTCGAGCTTCATTCACCTCGGATCAGGAGTGTTTGTGCACAAGAACAGATGGCCGGCTGTAGGTGTGTAATCAGTTGTGATGACACGCTGACAGAGATTATGTCACCACACTGTAATGTTTCACTGCAGAGCGTGCTACATGTTACGCAAAGGTTACGTAATTCACATGAGTTTTGTGACTGAGCTGAGCTCAGTGTTTCTCCACGTGAGGTGAATCCTTAAATATTATCTCACTGGTTTAACTGGTCAGACATGTCGAGTCAACTGGGATTTCTTTAATTACAGGAATTCAGTGGACTCATTGTTTAAACACAACTGATTATATATGTTAAATGATGAGTGTTTAGCCTCTGTAACTCTTTAGTCCAATTAGATTTTTCCCATAAAGGTGAAGTCTGTGATTCTGGAGAAACACTTTCAAGAAAAAACAAATAGCACAGTCTCTGTATGAAGCTGATCAGCTGTTCACTGAAGCTCTGTGATGTTACATGAATTTAAACATTCAAACTCCACTGTGTTTTTATGGCTGCATCCTTCCATCAGATGGGAACTTTGGAACCCGACTGTTTCACCCTGTGTTCAGTCACTGTGGTGAGCAGCTGACGTAACTGCAGGGGGACGTTAAAGGACGACAAACAGCTCAGCGTCTCGTTTTTGTGTCTTTGTGGTTGTTTGTGTGTCTTTGTAGTCATTCTGTGCCTCCTTGTCTGTGCATCTTTATAGATGTTTTGCATCTCCTTATGGTCATTTGCATCTCTGTAATTTTGTGTCTATGTGGTTATTTGTGTGTCTTTGTAGTCGTTTTATGTCTTGTTTTGTTCTGCATCTTTATCATCGTTTTACATCATGTTGTTTGTGCATCTTTGTAGTTGTTTTATGTTGCATTGTTTGTTTATCTGTGTAGTTGTTTTGTGTCTTCTTGTGGTTATTTGTGTGTCTTTGGAGTCATTTTTTTTGTCTCATTGTTTCTGCATCTTTGCTGTCATTTTCTATCACCTATGTTTTGTATCTGCTGCGAGGGTCCAAAGGACAGAGGGATGTCGTATGCTGTAAAGCCCTCTGAGGCAAATTGTGATTTGGCTTTATAAATAAAATTGATAGAACTGACTTGATTGATTGTTTGTGCATCTTTGTAGATGTTTTGCAGCTCTTATAGTCGTTTGTGGGTCATAGTAGTCATTTTAAGTCTTGTTGTTTGTGCATCTTTGTAGTCGTTTTACATCATTGTGTGGTTGTTTTGCAGCTCTTAGTTGCCATTTCAGTCTCTTTCTTGTTGTTTTGTTGGTGTAGTTCTGCCTGAGTGCAGTGGAATGATGCTACCTATACGGACAAGGACGGAGCCTTCTGTTTGGATGCAGACAAAACATAACAGTACCACTGGAGATTATGGAGGCAGTGTAGTGTAGTTCAAGTGAGATACGACTGTAGGAGATAACGAAGACATTTAAAAATGGCGGAACTGAACAAATCTGTAACATAGTGAAAATAATTCTCCGTCCATGTATCGCGATATGTTTAATGGCCTCACAGACCACCGCCGTCCATAACACTGCCTCCATTAACAGGTACATTATTATGACCCCCTCCACCGTCACCTCATTTGTTGTTGTGTGAAACGTTTGACTCCGCCCTCAGGTGCCATTTATGGCTGTATGTATGCCAACATTAAGGAGGCATGGAAGTTTCCAACGTTTGAAACGGACAAATCTATTTTTGTATGTAAAGGGAGTATAAATGAGCCCTCATTTGTCATTTGAGTCTCTTTGTAGTTATTTTGTGTGTTTGTGGTTGTTTTGCTTTTCTTTAGTAATTTTACTGACTTTCCAACAACAGATTAACAGTTTAAACATAGCCTAAGGCCTGTATAGCGTAGGGGGCCTATGCCTGATAGGCTCAATCAGTTACCCATGATCCACCATTATATATCTGCTAAGATACACCTTTAGTTCTTCAGTCTGAACACCTTAAGTTTGTGTTTGTGTTTGAACGGGAATCTATCAAACAGTGCTTTTGTTCTTAAGCTGTTACTGAAACCATAACTCCTGCACTTTATTTGTCAAATTGTTTAGATTTCTATATTTCAATGTTTCTATATTTTTATCTGTCTTTACATTTGTAGTATTTATTATGACGTGTGCTGCTGCCTTTCTTGGCCAGGTCACCCTTGTGAAAGAGGTCTTGATCTCAATGGGTCTTTTATCTGGTTAAATAAAAATAAAATTCATTGTGCACTTTACAGTCCAACAGTGTCTGCTTCAGTTTGTAGTGTTGTCTGGTGAAAGGTATCAGAGACTCAAGCGGCGGTTGGCATGAACACACCCTGCAGTAGTATGAGTTGCTTCTTCTGTTTTATATGATGAACTGAAACATGAAAGTAAGAGCAACAGACAGAAGAAAACAGCCTAACACTCTAACAAGAGTGACTTCACACAGAAATGTACAATTAAAATGTATTTTAAAAAGTTATTAATCGTTATGTAAAACTTTTAGTACAGCTGCTGTCACTTTGTTATTATCACTGGATGTTTTGTACCTTCCACAGTATCTTGATATCTGATGTTAATCGAGGTTCATTTGAATGAATAGTTTTCTGTTTTTCAGAGACCACACACAAAAGGTTGACATTTCATTTCAATGATTTCAATTTTGATTTATCTGCACGGACAGTTTCCTGCAGTGACATTATCAACTTCGGTATTTCAGTTAAGCTGAAGTCTGATTGAAGAGGAAATTCATTGTTCTCCTGTAGATTCTGGCGAAATGCCCACAGCAAGAGAATCGGCAGGGGGAGGCGGTGTCCCCCCTCTGGACACCGCATCACATAATGAGTGAGGTCAGGCTTGTGCGTCAGGCGCCAGCGTCTCTGTGAGGGAAGCGGTGATCATGTGGTGCGATGGCCTCACTGTATTTCTGCACGGTTGGTTGGCAGCAACGCAGGGCAACAACCAAGAGGGAAAACACGTCCTCGTCATTTCTGTAGATTCTGACAGTTGAAGGCTCTTTTCATTCATCGTGTCAAGTCACAACAGAACTGCTGTCTCTGCTTTACTGAAATCAGTCACACAGAAAAATCATTTTCATAACTGAAGATACTTTCATTATAATTTGACCAAACAAAAGGAAACAAACAGCTCAGAATGTAAACGTTGAGTCCATTCAGCAGCGTGACTGCAGAGCTTCAACCAATCAGTGTGCAAAACACATGTACTATGAATCTTCTTCAGGTACTGAGTCAAACAACTGTACAAAATGTTTCTGCCTCACAACACTTTGAAATCTTTGGGAAGCAGAAATCATGCAGAGCTTCAACCAACATGACAAAAGTAACACAGCCAGTACTGACAGAAAAAACAAACTTAAAGCTCGGTGACCACAAATCTGTGAAATGCAAAACAATGGCAGAATTTGAATATAAACCCTCATCCTGCAGCTCTGTCCTAAGCCCCTCCCACCAGATGTGGTCCCCTGCAGCAGCTCCAGAGACGGACCTTTGGTTGGCAGCTTTAGCGGCTCAAATTCACCCAGCAAAAATCCCTCAGTGCCGGGTGTTACAGCGGGCTGGCTGCCAGCAACAGCGCCACGTCTAAAGGCTCTGACACACCAAGCCAACGATCAACCGTTGGTCAATTTCAGGCCATCGGTGAGCATCTGTTGCCCTTGTCTTTGCAGTATGTCCCTTGTCGGCTTTCTGTCAGCCAATTCAGCATGTTGAATGAAATCCCTCTGATTGTCACATGAGAAGAGAAACGGAAGTGAGGAAAGTAAACAAACAGCTTAAGTCAAGAGGGAGTGAGACCAAAACAAACTTGTTGTTTTAGGTATGATTATGTTTTTAGCCACTGAGCTCTGTATCAGAAACATTTCATGGTAAATATGCTGTGTTCTATAAACATCAAGTTATGTTGTTAATGTGCCTACTGGCGTCTTTGATCCGTCCTGTTAGTCTTCCGGTTTCACTTTTAATAAAGAAAACAGATGACCGCTGCCTGCTGGTGTGGAGAGCTCTTACCTCTCACGCAAGTGCAGAACATACGTGGTGGTTTGTTGTTAGCTGTAGGTACAGGTGATTCGAGGCAACGTAACAGAGTTTGTGGCTGCTAGTTCTTTGATGTCGGTTTGGTGTGTCTGTGTAACAGCAGCAACAGAAAGTTTGCTGATTCTGCGGGGACTCGGGCTGTCCGGTCCCCTGGCTTGATTCAGAATGCTGTGGCCGCTGACGGGGGCTCCATCTCTGGAGCTGCTGCCCACTCTCCTCCTGGTTAGGTAGTCTGTAGTGGCGGGGAGTGAGGCGGAGGACACACTGTGATTTGAGGATCTAGCTAACATCAGCTACATAAATGTGAACTTGAAACTACAGTCATGAGCTTTTGGCTCCATTTAGTAAAAGGCTAAACTATAAGCAACATTTTCTCTCCATTTCTGAAACGCTTCACCGGGATTGACATAAAATTTATTTCATTTATTGTCATATTTCCTTTCAGACTCTTTCTGATAAGTTCGACTTCCTTATTTGGGTTCCTTTACAGTGGAGGCAGTTGATGCCAAATGGAATAGCAACTTTCTCCACATCATTGATTCAGACTTTCACCATCTGAAGGGACGTGCACACACATCTGTATCTATAGAACAGCCAACAACACCACCTCTCTGAAATGACCTGTGATTGTGATTTTGGAGTCTCCCATCACAGCTAGACTTCCTTAAGCCTGAAAACAGAGCCAAGAGGAGGAGCAGAAGTCTAGTTTTCTCTCAGACCATTTGAATTACAACAGGCTCAAAGTTTATTATGGGACTTTTACCCAATGACACCAAAATAAAACTGCACACCCAGCTTTAATCACTACCAAGCATCCTATAAAAAGAAATTCAGGTTGCTTCAGTTATCACAAAATGTATAAACCAGCTTTCTTTGTTTAAACTCAGGCCCTAAATCCCTTTAACCTTTATGTAACCTGCAGGATAAGAGCAGCACTGGGCTTCAACAGTAGTATCAAACTTGACACAACCACATATTCAATGCACTTTTTGTCTTAATATTAATCTGAAAGTTTAGTGGCCTTTGAATATTAAAAAAAATGAAGTGCTTCTTTTCTCTGGTTCATGTAAACTGTAAAATCACTTTCTACCTCTAATGCATTACAAATATAAATTTAAAATATATTTTCTTTTTGTCCTTTTCAGCTTAGTTTCTGATGAATAACCTGCTAAATGGACCTCCAGACACTGACCCACAGGAGTCATGTGACCTGGAAAGTGACTTTAGTTAAAGTGACGAAAGTTAAAACAAACCACCTGTGAGGTCCGTCAGTTCAGAGTCAATGCAGCCACATCCTTCTCAAATCCTGTTTTCTTTGTCTCTGTATTTCTCATCGTAAAGTCCCCCTGCTTCTTCTTCTTCCCTTTTTTCTCACGTCAGTGGTTCAGGATCAGAGGTGGAAGTCTTTGTCCCCTGCAGACGCTCAGCCATGGTGTTTTCCCCCGTCAGTGAAAGTGAAAGTTCAGACTTATCGCTTGAGTCTTTGCTGCACCTGCTCAGTTTCACTTTCAGTTTCACTGTCACTTCTCCCCTGCGTCTTTCAGCCAGTGCGGAGTGTTTGGTAGCCTCTGCTCCTCTGAGATCTCAGCAGAGGTGTCTGAGTGTCAGCGTCTCGAGATAAAACCATCTTGCCAGCTTGCCGGAGACGTGCACGAGTCCATCCATAGACCAGACAGTTGAGGAAACCCTGAGAGGCCGAGGTGAAAGCCTGAGGACAGAAGACACATTCACGTCACTGAAACTGTATCATCTCTCTGTTCCTGCGCATTTGACTGTCGGCTCAGAGCCGAAAGAGACACAAAACCACCACATAAAGATACAAAGAGAAGCTGTCCGTGCTTGTCTCTTAAATATTAGTGTGCAGACTTTTTCTGATGTTGTTCAGATCTCAGAACTGTTTTGACACGTCTACACAGGGTGATAAAGGACCACAGGCCCAAAGTCCTGCTGCAGACTGACCTGAGATATGTAGAGGGCAACCCAGGCCTCGCCCTGACCTGCTGAGGGCTTCACCACCCGAAGAAATGCCAGACCCACCGCTGAGGAAAAAACACAGGTACCGATTCAAACCCTGCTTACATCATTCAGAACAATGTCTCATGTCTTGGTGATCTGAGTTAGGACAAAGACACAAACCTGGACCCCAACAGAAGACAAAGACCAGCGGGTACAGGAGCATCCGCCGATCCATCACACGGAAGGAGGCCCGCTGCTCGTTGCCTAGGTAACCGTTTGCCGTCACAACCCGCCTGTAAATGCGACGGGCTTTAACCATGATCACCTGGAGCAGGAGGGGAGGTTTACACACAGACACGTTGTGGTGTACATTTACATTTTTGCTGTCGTTTTATATCCCGTGGCGTCACTCACTGTGATGCTGAGAAGTGTGAGGAGGAAGGTGGCGAGGAAGATGGCGATGCGGAAGGAGTGCAGCCTTCTGCAGGGTCCCATTGGCAGCTGGTGCTCTGAGGTAAGAAACAGCGCTTCGGTGTGCATCAGCAGACACCTGGTGTGGTACGGTTCACAGCAAGGGTCAAAATAAAGAAAACAAAAAACTGCAAACATTACACACATTTTCACTAGTGTGTGAACCTTTGCATTTTTTCTCCTCACCTGTAGGGCTGGCTGAAGTTGGTTTGACAGTGGTTGATGCCTCCCAGTATAAAGACAGGCGTCATCAGCAGCACAGGAAACAGGCTGCAAACACAACAGGACCAGATCAAATACATTTTAAATCACTCTCAGAACATGAGTTAAATGTATTTAAACTGGAACCAGGTTGGAACATGAACATTACACGTCAGAGTTACTGAACAGCTTCTCACCCTGAAAGCAGCGCAGTGATTTTACCGGCGGTGCTCACTCTGTTGGAAACCTGGACAAAAAGATGAGAATCGACTTTTAACGAACAAATTCCCAAAAAAATCACTGACAGCTTCTGCATCTGGGCATTAAAGGAATAGTTTGACATTTTGGGAAACTTGCTTATTTTCCTTCTAGTAGAGAGTCAAATAAAAAGATTGATGCTGTGATGCAGGCACGTGCACAGATAGACCCCAGGTGGCGCTCCAGCACCTGCACTTTAGACCTCTGATTAGAAAAGTGCCCTTTTTGCAAGACGTGGTTTCTGTTTCTTTTAGTAATTTTATATTTTAGTTTTTAAATTTGGCCCATGGCCTCAGTTCTCAATTAAAAGTGTTTTGTTTGCCTGATAGCATTTGTGTCAAGCCTGCCCCTCCCTCTTCAGCTGCAGCCACATGTTAATTGAGCGCCCTGCAGAGCAGCATCACGTCTTCCTCATCTCAATTTTAAATGTTTACTTTTTTCACGTGACGTCTCTGATAATTAAACGGGCACTGTGTAGGAATTTCTCCCATCTAGTGTTGAAATTGTTGCATTCAAACGGATAGCGCACTCTAGCGCCTCACTGTTTCAAACGCGTATTGCAACAACGGTGGCCGCTGTGTACCAAAAAAGCTATGATAACATTGATGAAACCATGTCATCCGACACTTCATGGAGTATTCATTCAGGCTCCTACACAGACACATGCAATGCGAGTTGACAAACCCCCTCCTCACCATGCTGGCTGTGTTTACAACGTAGGACTGTTGGGGCAGGTGTAAATCGAAACAAACCAATCATGTCTTTGACAAGTGACTCAACCTCACACACCTCGTCCCTCTCCTCGCAACACCGGGTCGCTAACAGCTGTTAGTGACCAGCGCCGCTAACAGCACTAACAGTGGCTACCAGCTGTCAGCGGCTCAGATATAGGTGAATGAGTGAATATATCCACTGCACCACTGCATACC